ACGTTCTGCTGGAACACTTCTCGCGTTCTCTCTCCGACATGTTCGAATCATGTGTAAACGACGACGATCGCTATTGCCAGGCCGCAGATGGTCCGGAGGTTGACCTCGGCGCGGTGACGCGCCCGATTGATTCGGAAGATCGGACAAAATTGCTGTCGACATCGAATTATACGTATCTCTCGAGGAGAGGTCGCCCCGTCAAGATTGTCTCCCGGGATGACGATCTGTTCGTTTTGGACACCCGGAGGCCTTGGGATCATCAGGAGTGCGAGTCGGAAACCGAGCCGTGGCAAGTCGACACGAACGCGACCAAGTACATCGTCACGTGTTTTCAGTCTGAGGTGGGCTCGGTGCCTTTCGCCCGTTTGCTGAGGGACGAGAAACCGCCGCTGTTGCAGAAGGAAGTCGATAGCACGGATTTGAAGGACGAAGCCAAAGCGGATGGCGTCGGTGGTGTTCACGAGACGCTAGACTTCACTCACAAGTCCGGTGAGCTTGGCGACAAGCAATCTAACAAAGATAATAGTGAACGAAAGCAGCAGCAACAGCTGGACAAGAAAAAGAAGACGAAAACTCTGAGTGACGTGTTGTCGAGGATCAAGAAGGAACCTGTAGAGATGAACGATCTCACGAGAGAGCTGTTCGAGAAGAAGAACGACGGCTTTAAAAAGGATTGCGACAGCGAAGTGACAAAGGCAAACAACAATATGGGCGAACATTTTGGCAGTGACATGTCGAAGAACGACGAGGACTCGTTGCCGACGCAGAATGGACTAAACGAGTCGGCAGCGACGGCAGCATCGGGCAACGTCGACAACACCATAGACAAAACTGAGGTCAAGACGGAAACGACGGAAGAACAAGAACTGGAAACGATGAGAGACGACAAGGAGGGACCAAGATTAAAAATAAGAGATCCGGCAGGAACGCTAAAGCGACGGAGGATAAGCGACTACGAGGACGAGAGCTACTCCAGGGACGAGGCGAGTCTCTACCTGGTGACGGAAACGCAGGACAGCCTGGCCCGTCGTTGCGTGTGCCTGTCGACGATCCTGAGGAATCTCACCTTCATCCCCGGCAATGAGGCGGAATTCGCGAAGAACGTTACGTTCCTCAGTCTACTGGGCAAGCTGCTGCTGCTGCACCACGAGCACCCGATTCGGGCGCAAAAGACGCGCAATTACGATCGCGAGGAGGACGCGGACTTCGCGGACTCGTGTAGCAGTCTGCAGGGCGAGGGCGAGTGGTGGTGGGACTTCCTCCATCACGTGAGGGAGAACGTTCTCGTGATGGCCGCCAACATATCCGGCCACATGGACCTGAGCCAACATCCGGAAGAGATCTCGCGGCCGGTGCTCGACGGCCTCCTACACTGGGCCGTGTGCCCGGCCGCGCACGGCCAGGACCCCTTCCCGACGGTGGGCCCGAATTCCTCGCTGTCGCCGCAGAGACTCGCCCTCGAGGCGCTGTGCAAGTTATGCGTGACCGAGTGCAACGTTGACTTGGTGGTGGCGACGCCGCCGTATTCACGATTACAGAGACTGTGCTCGGTGCTGACCAGGCTCCTCTGTCGCAGCGAGGAGCAGGTGCTGCGCGAGTTCGGCGTGAATCTACTGCACTTCCTGTCGGCCGCGGACAGCGGCGTCGCGCGCACCATCGCCCTGCAAACGCCGTGCGTCGCGCTGCTCGTCGCGTTCATCGAGCAGGCCGAGTCGACCGCGCTCGGCGTCGCTAATCAGCACGGTCTCGCGGCTCTGCGCGACAATCCCGAATCGATGGGCACCAGCCTCGACATGTTGCGACGTGCGGCCGGCACGCTGCTCAACCTCGCCAGGCATCCGGACAACCGGACTCTCCTTCTGCAACACGAATCCCGCCTGCTCGCCTTGGTGATGAGCCAGATCCTGGATCAGCAGGTCGCCGCGATAGTCGCGCGTGTGTTGTTCCAGTGTTCGAGGGGCACGTAACTTTCTGTCGTCGGTCGGGACACTAGTACGCGATTCGCGCGGATATGTTGTTAACAGTGCCGACGGTGACGACGACGAGTAAGACGCACGCACGCGACGGCGACGATGTTGCGATGGTGGTACGACGTTGTGTACGAACGGCTTGTACAGTGCGTTCGAGGGCGGACGTGTGGGGAAAGACGGGAGATAGACGGAATATATGTGACGGAAAGAGAGACGAGGGAGAGTGAGACGTGTGAGGCGAGAAAAGACTCGCGCGCGCGACGTGATAGAGTGCACAAGTGAAAGAACAAAAGTGCTGATGAAAAGCCATGGCAGCGCAGTTGTAGTTTTATATCGATTAAACAGGAAGTAAGAAAGTTTAATTATTGGTGTTAGCGTGTAGGTATACCCGATGCGATCTCCGCCCGTTGGTATACCTTCCCCTTCGATGAATTGGAATAATATCGATAGTGTAAGATATTTCATAGTTAATGAAAGAAAAAGATATACACACACACACACATACACACATGACATATACACATATAGGGAAACATACGGATTGACATACAAGCACACACGCAGATCCCACAGTACCCACACAACACACACAGTCTACATGCACACACGTATACATGCGCGCGGATGCGACCGCTAACGTGACACATTATATATCACACGTGACATAATATACACACACACATAACACACCATATATGCATACGCAGTAAAAAAAAAAGAAAACGGACTTTCAAGACGGTCAGCTGCATAATAATATATATACCAAGAATCATGTCGGCGAACCTTAATGGTGCGATGTGGAATGATATATCGGATGATGATATATATAAATATTAAACGATAATATAATGCAAATTTTTATATTTGCATGTTTTGTGCTGTAATTAGCGAGTAATTAAGATATTTTGTAGATAACACACTTCCATTTGAATCTTATTCGATTTTCGTGCTGCGGCTACGGTGGCGCAAATATACGTTTGCGGCTATAGGGCCGTAAGAAGTCTCGATTTTAGAAGCACAGGCAGAAACTAGAACTGAAGAAAGACATTGCTAGAAGAGAAAAAAAAAATAATATACGTGTGATAAAGTCGCTGATTGAGAGGGAAGAGTTGCAAAGAGAGAAAGAAAGCGTGAAAGCGAGAGAAGGAAGGAGGCAGCGATAGATGAAGCGTGCATGCGTGCGTACATGTTTATGTATTTGTGTATTGCGTGCATGCATGTATGTATCTATGTATGTATGTATATGTTTGAGATTTAGAAAGAAAGAGAGAGTGAGAAAGAAAGAAAGAGAGACAAAAGAACGGAAAGGAGGGGGGAGGGAGAGAAAGAACGAGAAAATGTTCGAGATAGAATGCTGGGGACAGAGATGCTGTAGCACTCCTCTATTCTGAAATCGTCCGGATCGGAGAAGAGACTTCTACATTCTGGAACATCCCTTCCAATACTCTTACTCGAATAGCCGAGCACTATGCTCCGCGTGTTCGTCCCATTCGCTTCTCTCACTCTACGTACAGTAAACGCGGCAAAGTTACTACGCGTGTAAAAGACGGTGTAAGAGAGGAATTCCAGTTTACAGGGGAGGGACAGCTGTTTCAGAATATAGAGAGGGGATCCGGAGTAAAGCGGGTCTAGAGCACATGTCCGCCGTATACATGCGCGCGAGAGATACGTGGCGTGTATGTGTGAGGCGTATGTATGCGTGTATGTGTGCGCGTATCTGTGTATGTGTGTGCGTATGCATGTGTGTAACAAGATTGCGCGAATGTGGTAGCATAGCGTGCATACGGCGCTTCGGCAAACGGGGGCCCATATGTGCACGTATTAATATAAAAGAGGAAAAAATTTAGAGAGAGGGAAAGATGCGTGCGTGTATTGTGTGCGCGTGTATGTATCCGCGGAGGATGGGGGTGCCGGTAGAAAAAGGGGTGGGGACAGTGTCTGTGAAAAGAGAAAGAAAAACACAAACATTTCGAAATTAAGTAACTGATTAATTTAAGTAGCTACTTAAATTACCGTTTAATTTTGCAGTAATTAATTGAATTCCTGGGAGATTTTACAGTGTTTCGGTAAATTATATTTATTTTTTTTTCAATGGCTTCCTTTCGAAGAGAGATTTGAAAGTAGCGAATCTAACTAACTGCAGTCTTTTTGGAATAAACGTATTTATAAACGTAATTAAACGCCGTTGTGATAACAGAAAAAGAAAGAAAATATAAAGAAAAAGGGACGAAGAAGCGGAAGTTGAGAAAAAAACCAACATTGTAGAAGCAGATGAAAACAGATTCTGGGCGATAATGTAGAAACGAGTATATTAAAAAGATAAAAAAACAAGAGGATTTTTAAATTTAAGCTCGATCGTGCCATTAAACGATTCTAATGGGAATATATTTATAACCAAGATTTTATGCTTTTTCAAAGCGCGCATATACGTTATTGTAAAACTAACAAATACCGATTGTCAGCTTGCACATATTTTGACGATTCTTACGATACATACATCTACCTAATTGTAAAATCCCACTCTCACGAACATTTACGCAGCAGTTGCAAGGAAAGGAAAAAGAGAGAAAAAGAAAGAGACGCATTCGAACTCGTCGTCGCACACCTTCCACTGGTATACTTCCTCGTTTCGTAGAAAGAATCAATTTAAGAGAGATGGAATGACGATTTAGTTTTCACATACGACGTATAGCCGTTTAAACGACTCGAATTCTTGCGAAGACATACGATTTAGAAGCGTGTTGAGATAAGTTAAACAGAACACTTTCCCTGGTCCCAGCTTCTCCCCGACCCCAAAGTATCCTATTCTATAGATATCTAAATACATGTAGTTCTTAAATTATTTACTTTAGTTCGAGTGGAGATGCCTGTAAGTGTAATTTACTAAGACTTTTTGTAAATAAATTATGAAATAAACTAGACGTACTTTATCCAAGACGAAGATGCGATCTGACTTTGGCAAGATACAATGATAATGATGATAATAATATTAATAAAAGAGTGTAGGGCATTAGAGAGACATACATAGCGTTTTTTCCTTATTTTTTTTGCATTCACCGTATAGACTTTTATTACGCCGAACTAAATATGTAAATACATTGATCTCTTCATCCTCTTTGTTCTTTGTCTCCCCCCTTACGGCGGCCTCGTCGACCAACTCCGAATTCTTATTTGGAACAAATGCTGCTCTCCATGTTCAGGATCATTGCATTGTTCATTTTGCGGCACAGCCAGTCCAGGATATCCGCGGCCTCGCTCTCCACGTACCAATCCACCATAGACGACGACGTCTCTTCCTCGTTCTAGGAATAAAATTTAATGAACGTCGAGCAATCAATATTAGAATGCTCGATGAGGTCATTTTAACTCCTATCCCAGTGTTGAATCTAAAATTCGAATCTGTTCTAACGTGCAGTAAACTAACTTGCGCATTTTTTAACAAATTGTCCACGCAATGCTATAATTCGCTGTATTTTAAACGATATAATTGTGCTAAATTAGTTTTTTGGGGGGGAGGGGATAAATCGAAACAGTCACCTCCGTCAGATGCAAAACAAGTTTGTTCTTAGCGATGGTTGGTGGTGACAGCAATTGATTAGTCTCTAAAGTCCATTTCACGTTCCACGATCCCCATGCACTTCCTTTCTCAATGTAGTATATCCGTCTGAAAAGATTCCAAAGATATTTCTTTTTACATTCCGGATCAGAGGAAATGCGGCAGTAATTTTATTCTTAATATCTTTTGATATCGAGGACACGACTTATTAAATTTTATGTGTCAGTGAATTCGACTGATACTGGTGCATGTCCCAGATTCAATCAGTCCACTCTCGCCCTCAAATTGATCAAAAGACCCGTCGATAAAAAAAATGCGTTTGAGACATTACGTGTAATTATTGTTGGACTTACTGCAGAGATACGAGCGTAATGTATTTTCCGTCGTTGTGAAGCGCAGCGTGTCCCCAATAAGAATCGTCCTGAACGCAGTGACCTTTACTTATAGCGTTCAATAAATACGCTCCCTTCGCTTTGTGCACCGAGAACGACTCCACGCCCTAAATAACAATGTTAATTGTTAATAACGGTATAAGGGAGACGGATGCGAGGCCGTGTGATTATCGTCCCGACGATACTCACGAAGTATGGATTAATATATCGTGGCAATCGCATTCTGGATACGAGGCCCACTTCTTGCGCCCTGCACAAGAACGAACAATTCGTCTTTAAGATAAACGCCGTTAGTGCACGAGAGAAAATGCTGCCGGTAACGCTGATACCTTTTTATCATATCTGCTATTACTTTCGAATGGGTTTTCAAGCAAGAGCTCTCCGCCTTAAACAGCACAGACGTTTTCTTTCCCAATGTTTTGAAGAAATATTTTAATTCTTCTCGATGAATGCCTGTCATTTGCAAGAGATTTAATAAGAATGGTCGAGCCCGGAAATGAAACGGCAATGAGCGAACAGATCAACAGATGTGCGCAGCACGATTATCCCACTTACATCCCACTCGTACATTACGACCAGCAATGATCTACTCACTATTCGTCGACGTAGTGATCAAGCCGGAGGTCTCCAAATCGATTTCTGTAGCGAACGAATGATCGGCTAACGACACCGAAGGCGGCACATCCGGATTCCGATAATTCGTATCTTTCATCTAGAACGAAATGTTCCAGTTTTTACTTTCACGCTATTATGAAATATTTCCGGGGATTTATATATTGTCAGCAAATACTAACAGCCAAATCGAAATTTTTTCTTTTGTAACTGATGATTTAACTTCTGATGGACTTTACTTATTGGAAATCGAGGATTTAATCAGATTTTAATGTGAAGATTAAGAGCTTGCTACTCTAGATGAGCTATGACTTCAAGCTTTTTAGTCGCTCTGCGCTAGCTTTATAGCGTTTACCTTGTAATGAAGCGTGTGACCGTCGTGGCCGCTTAAAAATGAGGCTTGTACACCGTCGGGCGTAGCATGTCCCAGCTCGCATGCGACCTCGTGCGCCAGTCTTTCCGCAGACTCGTCTCCGCACATCAATAGCTGCAAAATTCACACCGCAAATTAGCACCGTTTTCAATAAAAACGAAAGGTACCGTATCGTCCGTTCGCGAACACGTATATCGCGTATTTTTGCTCGCTCACCAAATCCGGGTCGCGAAAATTGCTCCCTGGCGACTTAAAGTTGTAGCCGTACTGATTTCCCAGGACGGTGGTTAAGCGCACCAGCACGTGAAACTGCTCCATAATCTGCGCCACGTAAACGCGCGAGAGATGCGAGAGAAATCGTTTGCTGTCCACGGCCATGAAACTCTTTCGATAGTCAGGTAATCTTAAGTGAGGAGTAAACGAAATCATTTAGAGATTTACCGTCGTACATCTTCCAGTTTCAAATTGTAATCGCCTTACCTAAATTCAACGTTCCTCTCAAACGTACCCCTCTCCGCGTACTCGAAAATAAATTGAAGAACGTTGTGATAACCGAGCACATTGCTGAAATTACGCGCGTTAGTTCCGTCCGTGTTGGCCAGTAATTTCACGCGCAACGCCATCGGGGAGATGTATATCTGCTCTATTAAATCCTTCCTCTTGCTGCTTGTGTCCTGCGATTCAAACGCGTGAATCAGTCAAAGTCTATACATTCACGATACGCCTAAATTGCGCGCGAGATTAAATTATTAATTTTGCGAACCGAAGAAACGCGAATATTGGACACGTCTCTCCTGAGTTTCGCGGCGATCGAGTGTTTAGTTTCCGGTGTCTTGGGTACCAAATTGATCAAGGAACACAGAAAGGCCTCTTCCAGATTCAAATTAAACTCCCTGACGATGATACATATTCCTCTGGAAGAATATTATTTAAAAATCATTATGAAAAATGCTAGTTTCAAAGGAAGAAATGATAACATCGTTTGTGGGCACGCACTTGTAAACAATGCTTCTTAATTTGCGTTGTTTCAGGTACGAGAACTCTAAGCAATGTTTCAATCTGCGGCTTCCAGCGTAATTCACAAAAGTTTTTTGCAAGTTGGAGTACAGAACTACCGGAAAGGTAGCTTCGGTCAGTTGATTATCGATCTGCAAGATGAAATTTTTTAATTTACATATGTGCGAATATATATTGCAAATGTGATCCCGTACCTGTATTCTATGAACGTATCCCTGCAAGTAACGAAGCGTCGTGGATTCTCTGCAATGCAACCAGATACCTGGCGAATACGTTCTCCGTAGCTTGCCAAAGAACGGTTTGGTCATCTGCATTTTTGTGAAGTCAACCTGTCAAGGATTTGGAAAAAATCTCTTAGAGACGGACGATTCTGACACTGTGCGAGAAGAAATAGTAACAGTTTACAATACATGGAAATAGTATTCCTTTCTGCGCTGAAATAGCGAGGTATGTTCTACATATTTAATACATGTCATTCAAGATGTGTTTGTGTAATGGACAGCAGCACAATATTTTATTAAATACAAAATAAAATTTATTAAATATAAAATAAAATCGAGCGGAATCTATAACTCTATCAAAGTTCACGAGTTCTACGCAACCGAATGATTTGCAATACAGTTTTTAAGATTTGGCATTGAACGTACGTCAATGAAATTCTCGAGCTGTGCCGTCTTCGTCGAATTCGCGTATTTATTTTCCAGCCAAGCGCTCAACTCCAGCGACAGATTCTTCCATCGTTTGCTAAAGTAAAGCTCCCAATGCGCGGCTGAGTCAATCACACTGGCGTACAGTAACTCTCGTCTGGCGCTATGAAGATTGGATTCCTGTACAACCTACGAAAGAAAATAGATCGATCTTAATTGATCACCTTTTAATCGGTAATCATTTTTTACGCATTTTATACGCGTGTTATATTTTTACACATTTTATCTGTGTTTTACACTGTTAAAATGCATTTTTTTACACGCTTAATTTTACAATAATATGTGTATGCGTAAAAAAATATGCATTTAACTGTGTACGATACAGATAAAATGTGTAAAAATTTAGACTTAGAGACACTTGGATTTGCAGTGTAACGAGCAACATATAGGATCGCTCTTCACTTACAACGCTGATTCCGATAGATGCGATTGACAAGAATATTTCTCTCCTGCTCGCCTCGGGATCGATGATGCTCCTCGCTTTCAGGTACACGCTCTCGTGCTGCGTGAACAGCAGCACACGTTGCTCACCTTCCATGTAGCTCACCCAGTAAACCTCCGTTTCACCCTGGTGTACGTGCGCCTCGGACTCCGCGCTAGGAACGTGATTGACACTTCCGTTCGTGTCCTCCGACCACGACTTCGTATTCGCCAGTGATTTGGGAGTGATGGAAGTATGAGACGCACTGTGGCGTCGTTCAATGGTTATAAAGTACACTCTTTCGTGTCCACAACCGTCCTAAGAGCAGACACAAGTATTAACGTCAAGCAATAAGTTTGCGCGAAGAAAAAAAATAAAAAATTTTTTTTTGAAACCTAGCTTGAGAAATTGAATTTCCCACGGGGATTAAAGAATGCAAGCCAGAAAGTTTTTTCTTCAAAAATATATTAAAAAACTAAAGGTTAATATTAGAGATATTTTTTTTCACTACCGTCTCGAATTGCGCTTTGTAGCCGATGGCGTTATTATTGTAAACGTTCCAAATCAATTCTCTAGTCTGAGTAGGATCGTCCCAAGTGTACAGCAAACTCTGGAACGGTTTGAGCAGCGCGACTTGGCCTAGATCGACTTGATTCAGCTTCAGAAACAGTTTGTCGCAGAGATTATCCACTCTCAGGGGTATGTCGCCGGCGAGGTGTCTTCGGAATGTTATGCGGTACGGAATAGTCACGCCGCCTTCGATCTCCACGCACAGCGCCGACTGTGAATTGTAATAAATTATCTTTGTGAGAAGCCTTCAAATTACATATACGACAATTACACATACAATTAAATGAAATTCTTTATAAAGACCAGTCGGTTCATAATTAGCGATCACACGTCTCTATCTTACCCCGTTATCCATTCTCAGCACAGTTTTGCCCGTACGCGTGATGTCAAAGTGTTGCGAGACCAGCTGGCTATTTCTCCACTGGATTTTCATCTTCATGGATTCGGTGGCGGGCCAGAACGACACCTCTTGTCCGGGCAAGAGATCGTTCCAGAGATCGGCCTCTTCATTTTCCTCCATGAACCTCAAGGCTTTCTTGGTTTTGTTGCAGATGAAGAAGTACGGCAGGAACGTTATGATCTTCGTGAAAATCGGCGACAAACGGGAGCTCTCTATCTCCGTTAAAATCTGATACTTTCGCCCGCGTTCGATATCGCGACATACGATCAACGACATCGACGTGATCCCGTCCAGTCCAAATGGCATTGACCACTCGGATTGATGGGCCCTTAATCGCACCAGGCTCTTTTTATTGTTCTTCTGGGAGAATACCATTAACTCTTCCTCCGGCATCTCGTACGTTATATGAGAATGGCAGTCCTAAAGGACAAAAAATGTTGTTAATAAATCATATATTTATTATCGTACGTAGAAACTCGTATCGTAGAAACCATGTCGTTGTTTGTTTCTAGTTTACCTGGATAAATAACGGCAAGCCGGACTTATTTATTATCCAATACTGCGACTGTATAATAACGTTCCAACTGAGAATTTTGCACAATTCCAAGCACAGCAAGAAGGGCTTCATCAAGTCCGACTCGCTATCTGTAGACATTAACACGAACTTGCGCTCGAGATTCATATTTAGTTTTACCGCGCCCAACCAAGACATGCCTAAATAATTGTGCACCTATACAAAATTATTGGGGACAATGTGTAATTAAAGAATGCAGCGAAACACATTTGTATAAAATAGTTTGTTTCGAACGATCATTCTACGTACCTTGAAAACAAACTGCACGTTGTTGCTGTGATTCAGAGAGTGCATATTTATTTTCTCCCCGGGTTCGATTTTCACCTCGTAATTGATGGCAGGTATACTGACATCGATAACGAAGGGTAGCTGATTATTGAAAATGATAGGCGGTACGATATTTATCAAGTAATTCGGCACTTGACAGCCTGAGGGACGAGTCGTTAACGGCAGTTCCGTGCATATCGCCCTGACACAGAATACATTACGATTATTGTCGCCCTTTGCCTCGCAGCATACGTCTTTAAATGCATTTGCTGTACCCCTCAAATCTTTCCAATAAATCCCTTCGTCACTGACTTGATATTTCCTACAGATAATACATCCGTTAGCATAACATAATGTAAATATGATTTATCTTGTACTCTACGATCTTTTACACACATCGTCGTGAATATTTCATATTTTGCTTACTCTAGATACGCAGGAAGAACGTGTATCGGGCAATGATAAGCGATGTACAGAGGGATGTTATAAGTTGCATCAGGCTCTATGATCGCCATTCTCACATTATGATCGAAAGGATTCGTGGTCTCGCCGGTTAGCGTCAGGCCCAATCTGTCTATCACCGCTTTCTTGTAATAAAGTCCCAACGCGTATGACGTTTCGTTTCGAAACTGAAATATATATCTCTCGATCAGGTAAAAGGTAGTTAGTGACGCTAAACGAACAGATGAGCGAGATCGCGTTACCTGTAACGGAGATCGCACGCAAATCGTCCGGTGCAAGTAGCTGTTTATCGACGCCTCTATCACCAGGTAGTAACGAACCTCGTGTCTCACTGGACGAAGTGACACGAGATTGCGCGTTTCCTTCTTCGGGCAATACACCAACACGTCTTCGAAACCTGCATTAAGAATAACAGATTTGCATTCGAGTATTCAATTTTTTACCTTCGGGATATATTTGCAAAAGTTACCTTCAAAGACGACACGTAGGAGTTCGCCGGTTATCGATTTGTAGATGTTCACCGGCGAGTCGGTCGGGAATACTTTGCACTCCGACGCGGTCACAGCGGTCTCCTTGCCGGCCCACTGGGGACTCGTGAGATCCGCCTGCTGCTCGTTCTCAGGACTGCTCGGCACGCTGACCGGCGAGCTGCCGTCGTGAAAGGTGTACGCGGCTATGACGCGCGTGTCGTTCTTTCCGTCCACCTGCTCTTGGACCAGCAACTCCACTCGACTCGCGTGACCTATGTCGTTCAGCACGGTCAATTCCCGCGTGTTGGCGGGTACAAACGGGATTCCACCCCTCGCTTGCGTGAACGCGTTCGAGATCGCGTTCCACGTCGCGATCATGTCTTGCGTTATGGTAATGTTAACTTTCTCCTCCGAATACACGATAATATATGGCGCGGTGAGATTCGTTTTCGTCGGTGCACGCGCGGGGGGATTACCTGCGTACGAAAAATACGACGTTAGCGTTAACAACTGAGATTTAATACGTTTTTGCACGAGATCTCGAATTTACGTACAGCATTCAGGATTGCAATCCAGAATCAATTCAAATTCCTCATCGTCGTTTGTACTCGAGTCGTCGGAATCGCTTTCCTCGTCGTCGCTGTCATTATTGAATAAATAACTCGAAATCCTCGTGAATTTCGTGTCGCACTCGTCATCATCCGTGTCGGACTCGTCCTCGTATGTAGCATAGGTTTCGGGCTCTGTTTATTAAAAAGATATGTTTACTAAACGATCTGTTAATACTAAGTAATTCACTTCCATGCAATTGAATACCTTACCTTTTCTTGTGATCGAGATCACATCGGCGTCAGGTCCAATAAACGTCATATCTGTCATATCCTCCCCATGGAACTGCGTGTATCTCTTTCTCGCTTTTACTGGATCTTGCTTTATATGATGGCAAGGATCCGTCCAATTAGAGCTAATCATATTCGCTTCGCCTCGATATGTCTGCAGTAAATTGAGAACAGTACAGAACTGCGTTAGTAAATAATTAATAAATGATGAAACACGTGTAGGGCAACACGATATAACATTAGTAACCTTGACAGTGAATTCCCATGGTTTGTAGTTCACGTCGTCTTTCGTGTGAAATTCCACGAAAGGCTCCCAATTCTGGCGAGCTCTATTGTAGCAGAACGCGTGTAGTTTTACATTGGACTCGAGGTGGAAGTTGTTGCGCCAATCGTTAACGGTAGCGGCGATGACAGTCTCCATTCTCATTACCGGAAATCTTCCCACGGCGTACTCCATTTCCAGCAGTAGACATATTAGCACGGGTCTCAAATTGAATGTTACATGATCGTTGCGGCGACGATACAGTTCCGTGACTGCAAGAAATGCAATAAAAATATAAATGCTGCGTGCAATAAAAATATAAATTTAAACGGACGAAGAAAGTTGACGAAATTCAAATAGAATACGTCTGCGATGTATACGAGATGCTTACCTTCAGTTTTTTTATACGGTATACTAGAAACTTTTCTCGGTATCCAAAGATTGTTGTGCACGTTTGCGTTCTGATTACTGGCGTCTGCTTTCGAATTAATACTGTTGAGGAAAGTCGATGCATCGTTCAATATCTGTAACATAGATTTCAGATAGAAAATTAGATATTAATGATATGTAACATGATCAAGTCAGATTATAAATTTTGAGCGATATAGATAATTATTTTTAATTGTTTTAAGACTTCAAGAAATAAAATCCAGTTTTTGTTTTAAACTCTAGACTCTTATAATTCAAAATCCATGTGTATCGCTCTATATTTATATCACGCATATTTTCAGATTTACTTTAAATTAATACTTACGTCGATAAACGTATGGATCACTTCCGCGGATAGATGTATACTAATACTGTTTATAGTAATAGTAATTTCTTCATTACCGCAGGACAATTTCTTTTTACAAATTTCTATATCACAGGGACGTAGCAACCAACACGGAGACTCGTAATTCCCCTGTCCTTTAGTCTTGGCATTGACGTTGGTCAGCGTGCCAACTATCGAGGAGGACCGGCTGTGCCTACTACTTTCGATGAACACTTCCGCCTGCATTCGTATCACGTGCGTGCTACTCTTCTCTAAGTCACCGAATAGAAATATGTCCGGCTTTTGTATTCTAATTGATATAGAAGTACCTAAACATGTTAGATATATTCATTTTGCTTTCTCTCCATTATACAAAGTTTCACAATATACAATAATATATACTGAATAAGAGAAAACGAACTTTATATACGACATGCACATAAATGAACTACCTGGTTGCTCCTTAAAATATTGGGAGCGATTTAATTTGTCAATTTCTGCATTTAAAGCATTCCGGTTCTTGATTGAAACCAAATAAATTTAGGAAATTAATTTGATTATTAATATTCACATATTTTTAGGACTGAGAGATATGTATATAAGGGGGAAAGAGTGTTTTAATATACAGAATATTCTTAATGATCTTATTATCTAAATAGTTTTATATTTACCATCTGGTTATTATTATCATATCCGTGATTGATAATTCCTTTCTCTATCTGCTCGCCGGGTAAGGAATCTAGGAAATAACGTCCCAAGTGCATCAAGAAAGGCACAGACAAATTAATTCTTATATCCTGAATAAGAACATCGAAACACTTTTCCTCCGCTTGAGTACGACTGTACGTGACGTCGACTATAGGAGACATCGACACAGAAATACAGGACTCCAAGTTCTTTTCTAAGGATATCGCCGGCGATTGTATTATCCTGAAAAGGAAAACGCGAAATTGTGATTCTCGATAGCATTTAATGTTCTACCAACATTCAGTTATATATAATCAACGAACAATACCTTTTCTCAACGACCGAATCCTTGCGAGTGTCCTGCAACAAGCAGCTTTGCAGAGACAATTTCATTTTCAGACTCTTATCGCTATAAAAGTCCCAAGTGTTTATAGTTTCTCCGAAGCTCAGTTTGCACAAACCGTGATTTAAATCGCGCACAGGAGAACTCAAGACCTGCAACACAATAAAAATTATATATGGATAAAAATTTATATCGATATTCGACGGGCATTAATCTAGATGTGAATATCTACCTCTTCTGTATCCATAAACAAATTTAATTGCAAACCCTCCAACGTAAGCTTTATATTGACTTCGCATACTGCTGTTTCATTGTGCGTTAAGAAGTTCTCCAGTTTCTTCACCATAACGTCGTCATGGTTAGCACTCTTTTGCGAGTCTTGCGTTGAAATTCTATCTTCGTTCTCGCCGACTTTCTTAAGTAACGATATCTTAGAAATATTATCTTGCCACACCGATATAAGGGACTTGAGGTCCCTCTGACTCAAATTTATATTCACGACGTCGACAACTCCTTGCACGTTGAATAAACCATAAGTGTGAAATTCAATAATGCTACGGTACTCCGTTTTTCTCTTGATATCGAACTGAATTTGTATAGGTTCAATAATGGGTTCCTGAAATTATATCTACATGATATCATTTCAATTTTAATAATCTACCACACAACTGAACTCAATTAAAATGTCCGATTTTACCTGGACTTCTAAATCTCGAGTCAGAGTCATTATTGCTCTAGACACAGTCATAGATTTCAACTTTACCAAAATGTTATCGATTATTAGTTGACTATCGCTAGCGGTCGCTTTATTCGATTGTGCTGGCTGTCCACTATTCTTAAAAAAATTTTCAACCGATAATACGCCTGAAAATAAATTTTTAAATTTAAAACACTCCTTCTCAATTTGCAATTTTTGAATTTGTTTCTCTTCAAATACAATTCTCTACCTGTATCAAAAACCAAGAGACTCGGGGCATCCTTCTTCTGTGGCAGTAAAAAAGTAGGCCCTTGTATGTCGACAAAAATATGCAATTTCGTCGCGCTCCTCTTAAATAATTCGATCCCTCCGACGAATGTATTTTTCAAGTAGTATAAGAAACGCGTATAATACGTGGAAGTAAACGGTATTATGAAATTCTGTAAAAAATAATTAAAATATCGTACCGTATAAAATATAGTACTGATATTATAGTAATATTAACATTAGACACAAATATACTGTACCCGTAAATCGTATAGAATTTTGGAAATGATCACGCAATTTATTCGTCCAATGGAAAGCTTGAAAGTGCCATCCGACATCACGTCGTCTTGATTTGTATCGATATCCGAGCATTTATATAATCTTGGTATGTGTCTCACGTATTTTAGATCGAAAACTTTATCTTCGTCAGTTGTCAAAATCTTTAAATAAAATTAAATATATACACATAAATATATTTGTATATAATATGCAGTAGAAAAAGACGGTATATGCTATTTGAGGCAATTACTTTGGAATAAAGCGTATCATCAATTAAATCTTCAGCGAGTATGCTCCTGAGATGTGCGCGCAACACCATTCTCTCGTTCGCATTGTAAATGCAATCATTTTCCAAGCCCAAAATTTTAATTTCCATTAAATCTATGTCTTTATCGCAGAATCGCACCACCAACGAGCTGAGCCTGGTTGAATAGTTCAGTTTAATTGCGCCTGAGAAAGTAATAAAATATACAATTAATTAACACTAACTCTTTGTATTTCAAATTTTCTTTGTATTCAGAGCATACATTCATACCTGGTGGGATGGGTGGATCAATGTCTCTCTGTTCCCGCTTCATAATATTATTGTACATCTTCTCGGCGTACTTTAATAAGAGAGTACCGTGACACACGCTGAAATAAAAAAGATTTTTCTTTGAAATATCTATCGTATGAAATATCAAGATAATTTTTATCTTCTCTGTCTTGTTATATTTAAGTAAATGATAAATACTATTAAGAGTAGGGTATAGGTAGGGTATTATATATGAGTATTACGAATTAAATATAGAGATAAATTTTAGTTTAAGAAAAATAATTCTTTTACATAGAATAGATTTTAATTAAAAGATTTAACAATAAAGATTTATTTAGTAGTTAAACTGGTATATATATATATATATATATATATCTTATA